TGCGCGCGAGTGATGCGTGTTGGTTAGTGTGCATCAATTAAAGCAGCGCATTAATATAGAATGGTGATTAAACTGACTTGGAACTACCTATGCATTAAACGGTTTTACTGCATACCTGCCAGCCAATCAGAATCCAGTATTCAGACAGACCATGGAATAATTGGAATTTGTGCTCAGCATTTAACCCATCCAAGTGCGCACACACACACACACACATACTGTGAACACACACCCGGAGCAGTGAGCAGCCATATTGCTGAAGAGCCCGGGGAGCAGTTGGGGGTTCAGTGCCTTGCTCAAGGGTCTCACCTCAGTCGTGGTATTGAGGGTGAAGAGAGCACTGGTTATTCACTCCCCGCACCTACAATCCCTGCCGGACCTGAGACTTGAACCGCAAGTTTCGAGATACAAGTCCAACTCTCTAACCATTAGACCACGAATGCCCCCCTATATGGGAGTTTTTGCAAAATTGATGGGTTTCCACTGGGTTTATTTTAAATTCACAATTTCAATTTGTGCAATGTGAAGGGTAATGGAAACGCAGCTACTGGTCAGTGTGACTAGCAAGTGCTCTAGGTGCTGAATTTTTAACCAGGTAGAGCTTATTTGTTGAGCCTGCAACATTTATAAGGTGAAAGAAGGCTATGATTGTCAACAAAACAATGTGTGAATGTAACCAACCGTAATTGTGGAAAACAATGTAATGGTACATTCCTCCATCAAGATCTAGATGGGTGGAGGTCCTATAGAAAGCAAAGAATTAACAATATTGACAGGAGGTTCTGAGGTCACTGGTTTCAGTAGTTTAGTAAGTCTAGGATTCAGGATACGTGTTTTTGATTTAATGCTTTTCGTGTCTAAATGTTTTGATGTCTGTTGCTTTATGCTATTAAACTGGTTTTTACTTGTATTTGTCTCTTTCCACCTCAGACCTGATGGCGCTGAAAGAGGAGAGTCAAGAACTGAATGAAATTGAAGAGAAAGATCAAAATGAGAAACATCATGATTTCAAAACTGAAGAAAAAACAATTAGTTGCTCACGGACTAAAAAGACCTCCTCACGAGAAAAAACTCAAAAAACAACAATATGCCCTCAATGTGGAAAATGTTTGACACGTAAAAAAAACCTTAAGGCTCACATGAGAATTCACACAGGAGAGAGACCTTACACCTGCTCTCAGTGTGGAAAGAGTTTTACACTGAAAGGTCACCTTAATGCCCACATGAGAAGTCACACTGGAGAGAAACCTTATACCTGCAAACTGTGTGGGAAGAGTTTCTCACTTAGTGGAGGTCTTAAGACTCACATGATAATTCACATTGAAAAGAATCCATTAGTATGCTCTCAGTGTGGAAAGTGTTTTACACAGAAAAAAAACCTTAATACCCACTTGAGAATTCACACTGGAGAGAAACCTTACACCTGCCCTCAGTGTGGAAAGAGTTTCAGGCTCAAAGATAATCTTAGGACTCACATAAGAAGTCACACTGGAGAGAAGCCATTCACATGTGATCAGTGTGGAAAGAGTTTCAGATATAAAGAAAACCTTAATAATCACATGAAGATGCACTCAAGAGAGAACAGTTTTAAATGTCATCAGTGCGAAAGGAGTTTCACAGACAGGAAACATCTTAAGAATCATGTTAAAATTCACATCGGAGAAAAGCCTAACATGTGCCATCACTGTGGAAAGAGTTGCTCAACTGAAGGAAGCCTCAAGGATCACATGAGAATTCACACTGGAGAGAAACCTTTCACCTGCGAACAGTGTGGAAAGAGTTTCAGGGTTAAAGGAAACCTTCAGATTCACAAGGTAGTTCACACTGGAGAGAAACCTTACAAGTGTCCTCGGTGTGAGAAGAGATTCACATTTCAAAGCAGCATGAAACGCCATTTGCAAACTCATTCTCTAAAGAAATCACCATTTTCCCCAGAGTGACAAGGTTTAGGAAAAGGAGTAATTTCTACAATCATCTGCACAATCATTTTGGAAGACATTCAAGTGTAGTCAGTGTAATAAAGCATTGTGTGAAATCAAGTCTATGTTCACGGTGCAGCTGAATGTGGGCTACATCTGACTGTTACCTTCATGACTACTTTTTTTTTTACTACTTTTATTTGCATATTTCACCTCTTTATGGTTCACCATAAGGCTTTTTATTTTATATTAAAAAAAGATGGTCAGGTATGGTCACAGGAGTTAATATGCACAAAAATAGTTTTAAATATTGAGCGGTTGTGGTAGATTCCCTCTAATTTCAACTCAATTCAGTGTGTTGATTCCTCTGAATCAAAATATTAGTCAAACTTCTACTTTACAGTGAAATGTAACAATGTAACTGGAAGCTTAAAAATAAATGGACAAACTGAACAAAATGACTTGTTCCCATTGATTGTAGGTGTATTTTAGCTCATTATGTTATCAATTTCAATTGAATGTTGTAACATCTTAAAGGTCCCATGACATGCTGCTTTTTAGATGCTTTTATATAGGCCTAAGTGGTCCCTAGTACTGTATCTGCATATTAATGTTAAAAAACCTCATAAAGTGACATTTTCATGCCATGAGACCTTTAATAAGTTTACTGATTGTAGAACTCTGGAAATACCAGGCAACTTTAAATTTATGATCAGGAAAAGCATGGAAATATCATTCTAGTTATGCGCAGGTCTGACTTTTTAAAATTTGTATGAGCACAGTTCATTCTTTATTGTGTTACCAGTACCTTGTATGTATGTACATATACGTACTGTTTCCTTTCTTATTAATTTGCTTAAATAAACAATCCTAAGCAGTTTGTCTTCCTTCCTTTTCTTGTTAATTATACATTAGAGAAAGTATTTTAATCTTCTGGTAGTGTTCACTTGGGAGACACACTTGTCCTGTGTGTTGTTCGCGGTCAAAAGTGACCGAACACCTGAAATGTAATTTTTTTTTCAGTGAAATCAATGTAATATATTTTTATTAAATAATTTTTTTTTTTTGTGTGTTTTGAGTGATTTTCATGGTACTAATTAAGGTTTATCCCACAATATACCATTTTATATTACTTTTAAATTATGGCAGTATTTCTAGTTAAAATAGAGACAATGGGTTTCATTCGTTAAGCATGTGTATGCACAAAGTTGTGCTAGAAACCTGCGTACAAACGTTTTCACGAACAAATCATGATTCACTACATTCTAGTTATGCGCAGGTCTGACTTTTTAAAATTTGTATGAGCACAGTTCATTCTTTATTGTGTTACCAGTACCTTGTATGTATGTACATATACGTACTGTTTCCTTTCTTATTAATTTGCTTAAATAAACAATCCTAAGCAGTTTGTCTTCCTTCCTTTTCTTGTTAATTATACATTAGAGAAAGTATTTTAATCTTCTGGTAGTGTTCACTTGGGAGACACGCTTGTCCTGTGTGTTGTTCGCGGTCAAAAGTGACCGAACACCTGAAATGTAATTTTTTTTTCTGTGAAATCAATGTAATATATTTTTATTAAATAATATTTTTTTTGTGTGTGTTTTGAGTGATTTTCATGGTACTAATTAAGGTTTATCCAACAATATAACATTTTATATTACTTTTAAATTATGGCAGTATTTCTAGTTAAAATAGAGACAATGGGTTTCATTCGTTAAGCATGTGTATGCACAAAGTTGTGCTAGAAACCTGCGTACAAACGTTTTCACGAACAAATCATGATTCACTAAAACTGTACTAAAATTTATTCTAAAAAAAAAATGACCGAACACCTGAAATGTAATTTTTTTTTCTGTGAAATCAATGTAATATATTTTTATTAAATAATATTTTTTTTGTGTGTGTTTTGAGTGATTTTCATGGTACTAATTAAGGTTTATCCAACAATATAACATTTTATATTACTTTTAAATTATGGCAGTATTTCTAGTTAAAATAGAGACAATGGGTTTCATTCGTTAAGCATGTGTATGCACAAAGTTGTGCTAGAAACCTGCGTACAAACGTTTTCACGAACAAATCATGATTCACTAAAACTGTACTAAAATTTATTCTAAAAAAAAAAAATAGAAACAACTGAATGCACAAAAATTACACTCTGGTCAGTCTTAATCTAGATAATCTATGTATAAATTATATAGATTTATATAAACTATATATATATATTTATACACACTGTATAAATATGTAGGATATATAAGTTGTATATACAGTATAGTTCAGACCATGTAGGTTTCATCTTAGGATAATTGTGAAATATACTATAACAATAAAATGCATATTTAATCTTAAATGTATATACAGTGAAAGAGTAAAATAAGCTGTGTTAGACTCATAGACTGTATAAAGGTTAGACTATAGCTCAGGCTGCGAGGTTTCTCTGAATAACAGCACATGTACAGCCGGCTAATGAAAGCTCTGTAAACTGGGTCTGTATAAAAGGTGTTTTATTGTATGAAATTATTTTGATGACTGCGCACTTGGCATTGCTCAAAGATCTGGCGAAAGCGTGTCTGTAGACAGCGTCACATGGGGATTCGTGGAGTATCTTTGAGAAGGCTGTAAATGAAAAGGTTGTGGGGCAGGCTCTTAATTGGCGAGATTTATGCAAATGACTAACCTCGTGCGCACGCGGCAGCTCATTTAGAATACTCCAAATTCACCAACATTAGGACGAGGAACATATTCAGTGGAACATCAACCGGGACATCAGAGCCGCCACTCAAACCGACCCCGCTTCACTGATCTTCCTGACTGAGATCTCCTTATACCTGAACTCTGAGGTACTGTGTAGCTTGCATTGTTACTCAGGTTTTCCTGATACTCTATTGGTCTATTTAGTTTGATTTCATAAATGCCACTACTCTTTAGTGCCTCTGCATATGTCACCTTATTCACATCCTTGTATCCCTGTACTTCTTTAGCTTGTTTCTGGACCACACATCCAGCATATGCAGCACTATGCTCACCTCCACAATTGCAGCATTTCAACTTAGCATTCTTTTTACATTTGCCATAGTCATGCTCTCTGCATTTCGCACACCTTGGTCTCCATTTACATTGTTGTGCTACATGTCCCATTCGTTGACATTTGAAGCATCTTAGCGGTTGTGGTATGTAGTCTCTCACTTTGTGTGAAATCAAGATCCCCTCCCTCCCTGTGTAATCACTCTCCAAAGCCACGCCTCCTCCAAAACCTGCAACACGGTGAGAGACGGCGTTGTGGAGGATTGAATGCAACGCTGTCAGATTACCTCATGTCTCATTCACCGGTGAGAAAACATTACAGTTCAAAGTGCATAATATCACAATAATAGCGCCTTTCATTCTCGCTGGAACGTGCTGATGACGTATCATGTCTGGGCAAACGGTGCACAGAGGTATGCAAATACATATTTTGACAGGCATTCATAACATTTATGGTCCTACGACTTCCACAGATGATACAAATGCATATAAATAAGTTTAAACCACTTAACTAATTGCTATCGGGATGTGAAGAGACTTTCAACCAGCATAACAAAAAATGTTTTTGAACCAAATCACATACCCTGCCTTTATCATGTGTTCAAATGTATTAAAATAACATGACCAAACAAAAAAGTTAATAAAAAAAACATCAGTTATTTAAAAGATGCATCCCAAATTTTGTCCACCTGCCCAATGCATTTTTCTCTGGTCCAGCCTGATCAAAAGAAGTCCAATTGGATGGAAACTTGCCCAATCTGGCAACACTGTTCCTGGTTTGAGTGTTGTGTGAAAAACGGGTTTGTCTGTCAGTGTCAGACAGACTAAACAATAATACACTTGTACCGTGAGACTGAAAACTGTGTCCAGATTTACAGTTCCTTCATTCCCATCAATATTTTCACTTTGTGTATCATGAAATATGTAGTCATTTCAATGATAAATAGGGATGATCATTGCTGTCTGTCTCAGAATCAGAAAGAGCTTCATTGCCAAGTATGTTTACACACACAAGGAATTTGTCTTGGTGTCAGGAGCTTCCAGTGCAGAAAGTACAGACCTAGTGCAGATATACATATAATTTGTTTCCAGGTTGTTAAGACTGCACCAGACAGCCAGCTGCTCAACCTCTATATTAAGGACTGATTTACATGTTTTCACACATTTTATCAAAGCTTGTAGTCTCTGATTATTCCTCCATCTCCTCGTGGTGTCTCTCCTTAAGCAAATGTTTCTCATTTAGTGAGTGTATGGAGCTGCTCATTAACTGTTCAGAAGAAACTTTCTCATGACAGAAGTGATGATAATTAATTATCATTTGGTGTCTGGACTATTGCTGGAACAGATACTGTCTGTAATGATTGTAATGTGAAATGTTATTTGTAAAAACAACTAAACTGGTCAATTTATGAGACTATGACACTTTCAGTGAATATAAAATATTTTCTCGCACATCCTGAGAGTTTGTGCCGCTCAGATCTGCAGCTCTCTGACACTACTTATTATTATTATTATTCAGCCATTCATCTACTACAATTACACAGCAACATGTCCCTTCTTTTTTTAGCCACAAACTAAATAAGATCTGTTGTAAGGTCTGTAGTGGAGGTTGGATGTGTTATTTTTTATCCACACAATAATATTGTTTTTCTTCAAATAATTTTTTATCAATTTCAACATCTCAAAGCTTCATGATAAAATGTTAGAGCAGTGTAATATTATGACTGTCAGAGCAAATTTCTGAAAATAAGTGATTTATAATATATCAAATAATTATTAATCATTTACTAATGATATGATTATTTCATGACTTACAAAAACATTTTTGGATGACTTAAAACACACTTGTGGCATGGTAACATACACATCTATATACATCTACAAATGTATATTAATGTTTAAATGATTAGTTAATCATGAACAAAACACTTTTAAATGACCTGATCATTATTATAAAGTGTTGCCAGAAATTTGATAAACAGTCTGTAGTCACTGTCACAACCAAACTGTGTAAAAACTATGATGATGAGGTGTTTTTTTCAGACAGATTTGGCAACCTTGCTGACAAAACGAAAGTGAAAGCAGATTGTTGTACATGCAGTGTTTACACTTGACCGTAAGATTTTTTCATTTTGAAAAACTGATCATCAAACTGTTATTATTATTTGCTGATGTGGGAATTTAGATGGACCTAATGGGAAACCAAGCACATATTGAGAACTTGTCCAGTAGCTGAACATTTTGATCAAAGCAAGTCTTTAGCTGTGGAGCACAAAGGCACTTCCTTATTAATGTACAGTGGGTACGGAAAGTATTCAGACCCCCTTCAATTTTTCACTCTTTGTTATATTGCAGCCATTTGCTAAAATCATTTCAGTTAATTTTTTTTCCTCATTAATGTACACAGCACCCCATATTGACAGAAAAACACAGAATCGTTGACATTTTTGCAGATTTATTAAAAAAGAAAAACTAATATAACAAAGAGTGAAAAATTGAAGGGGGTCTGAATTCTTTCCGTACCCACTGTAAGTAAACATAAAATACTAACTTCATCATGAAGCACTCAAGAAACATGATTCAGTATGGACAAATAGGGATTACAAGATTGTAACATGTTTCACTGTAATGTTCTGTAATCATGTTTTCAAACTTTTATATAATTGATATAATGATAATCTTAAAGTAGCCTACTTTTGTTACTCCATGGGTTGTATTACACTGTAAGTAATATGAAATGTAAAATATATTTCAGTCATAGATATTACTCATGCATTGCCTTTCTTAATTAATATAAGGAGAATATATGTGACCCTGGACCACAAAACCAGTCATAAGAGTACATTTTTTTTAAATGTATGGTTTGTTAGGATAGGACAATATTTGGCCGAGATACAACTATTTGAAAATCTGGAATCTGAGGGTGTAAAAAAAAATCTAAATATTGAGAAAATCGCCTTTAACGTTGTTCAAATTAAGTTCTTAGCAGTGCATATTACTAATCAAAAATTAAGTTTTGATATATTTGCAGTAGGAAATTTACTAAATATCTTTATGGAACATGATCTTTACTTAATATCCCAATGATTTTTGACACAAAAGAAAAATCGATAATGTTTTTTTTTTTTTGGCTATTGCTAAAAATATACCCTAGTGACTTAAGACTGGTTTTGTGCTCCAGGGACACATATGGGGTTTTTTGGGAAAAAAAAAAAACATTTAAATTTTATTTTGAAATAAAATAATTTTTATTTTATATGTATATTTTTTATATTCAATTTTTTTTTGTTATTCCACGTTTTCTTAATTAATATAAGGAGAATATATGTGACCCTGGACCACAAAACCAGTCATAAGAGTACATTTTTTTTAAATGTATGG